GGACTAAGAATTTTGTAATTTTGGCCGTATGAGGCTACTATTTGACACAGTGAGTTTATTCTCTGTGCAAGAAGACAGGAAAATAAAGGGCATATATTTTGGCATTGTTGTAGGTGTGTCGTGTTATATTTTAAAAATTATGGTACAGTCGGTTGTATTTTAAAAGTTTAAGAAACGCTAGAATGAAAATTTTTCGCTTTTCTGTTTAATAATTGGGTGAATAATACTGTAAATATCATTCTCTTTTATTTGGATACATGATTTGTAGCAATGCTGGGATTAAAAATTGATTGAAAGATTACTTTTTAGTTTTTAGGTGCCTTTCTTCAGATTTACAAAGTTAACTTATGGACTTTACGCGCTACTTTTAAAGTACAGCTTGTCGCCACCTTTGATCTTTTAGTTGTTAAGTTCAGAATCGCTCCCTACTTTGAGATCGTGTACTTAAGCTAATATTAAACAACGGTGACTCCACGTCTACTGTCTTCAACTCCTCGAGAGCATTTTAATGAATGATATTGAAAAGAAGACTGTAAGAGCCCTGAGACATTTTTTTCATTATCCAAGTCTCAGAAAATACAGGTTTCTTCGACTTATTTAGAAAATAAGAAATCAAAAAAATCAAGTGGTTTGGTAGCCAATTTCGTTAAAGTTGTTCAACCGCAACGTACTAAGCCTCATATATTATCTGCGCAATGTAAGATGAATGTGGACTTCAAACGCACTCAGAAGGAATATTACTCATTGTTAGAGGGTGCATTCTATTGCCGTTTTACCTGCTATATGGGTTTCCGAACTACAACCCGTACTTTGTCCAAGGAAACCATACATTCATATATTCTCTTTAGAAAGTGTTATATTTAGATTTGTGCACTATGTAATGGACATGGGTTGCATTGCATACTTCATGAAGATCAATAGTGAATAACAGATATGACGCCAATTCAAGTGAAATTTCACTATCGAAAAATGGTTTGTATCGACAAACATTGCAAACCGAAAAATACAATTTCTTAGATTTGAAACAAGTGTCATTTATTTAAAAAAGAGTATTGGAGAGTATGTGTGCTTTTGTGATTCCCTTAAAAATGTTCGATTTTATGAGGTCATTGAAACTCCATGGAAAACATTCACACTAGTTAAGTAGAAACTTTCAGCGAATTCTGTTTTTGGAGGTGGTCTGAGAGACGTACACGCAGGCCTGTATTTTATGTGACTGAGTTATCCTACGATCACATAACACGATACTCAATATTACAACCCCACTGATGTAATCCTTTCTAACCGAATTCACTTTTCAGAATTTCGATTAGTTTTAAATTAAACATACCACTTACCGTGTATTGTCCGAGTATGTGGTCAGGGCTGTTGTTTAACAGAACACATGATTCTGTGTAACATTCCCCCCCTAACGTCTTAATTAACGCGAATGCTTTTAACAGTCGACTGTTCTTGAGTTTGTGGCAACGGTATGTCTACTCCAAATAGGCAGTTCTTTAGCCCTAGTCAACTTTTTGATGGTAACTAGTTCTCCTATGTGTTTTGACCCCTTCTTCTGATATGAGGCTTTTCTCACTGTCTACCGCATTACTATTGCAGTCGCAGTTTCCCCCATCGGTCTCGGCCGAAGTAATGTAGCATAATGTAGTTAACCCGTTGGAATCGATGTGCGTAGTCTGTCATCAGTTAGCAGCACAGAGGGAGAATACAGACACGTCGGAAAAAACTCTAAAACTGCATACACGTCCACGCCAGTATTCTTCGTTGGTATTTAAAATAACCCTATTTACAACATACTTCGACAAGATTCGTCCCGGTTCTGGAGTGGAAGATGTATCTTGAGTGTGACATTCTGATACCGATTCAACGAACAAGATCATCGACATCATCAGATTTGCCGGAGCTTGCCCATAAACTGACCCCTGGCGGCACAATAAGACGTTGTGTACAATTCGGAACTGTCCTGGTTATTAGAAGTAACTCTTGCTGTTCACACCGACAGGCCATAAATCTGTCCAAAACACCCAGGTGTCGTAGTTCTCGCAGTAGTATCAGTTTCCTCAGACTGATTATGACATCCAAACTCGTACTATACATATTAGATATTTGCTACGCACTGACTCGATGTTGTTCATCGACTGGTCGTTAAATTTGGTCTGCTCAGAAAGTGTTCTTTGTTAATATTTTTAGGACAAGACAACAGCCAAAAAGCATCGAATGTTTCTTGCGAAAGTCTCTTTAGAGTTGTAATCTTTCTCATCTTAAATGATGTAACAATTTCACAGCTACTTTGTAAAGTAGAAAATGTTAATTGCATTCTAATGAAATTATCTACACTTTCAGAATTCTGGTTCCAACCAGATTCTATTCGAAGTACCTCTTTTTCTCGCCAAAGATTCTGACCAGTAAGAGTTTGAATTAACTGTCTGATAAAAATAAAACTTCGGCTAGAATTGCTTATGTGGCCATCCCTGAGAGGAAATCTGAAAAGGAAGTTCCATCACGTACTGCAGTTGGCTTCAAACTAAATTGCAGCGAGTATGAGTTTTCCCATGTCCTAACGTTAACCCTAATTCAAACCCTTAACGTAATCCGTATCTTCACCTTAACCTTACCTTAACCGTAGCCCTTAGCCTAGAGTTAACCCTAAACTCTGTAGAATTTGGTTCAAGGACACCTGTATTACACGCGTTCCCTACTCCCATGTCCTGTCGGTGGAGGGGAGCATGTAAGCATTCTCTACTAAAATTTATGCAGTGGTATGGTGATGTGGATATTAGGCAAGTGATACACACTGCTAAATTTAACTGGTATTGAATGGAATCATTTTTAGGTCACAGATTTCCCTTAAGAGTCTTTATGGTGACGTCTGCGCACAGCTAAGGATATGCCTTGCGTTATCTTTATCCTGGAGTGAAATATGCATTTAACAGCGTACATGAACCGTGACATGTTTGCGTGTCTGCTTCCAATATCAGGCTTCTATCAAATCGGCGGCTTTCCGGGCCTTCTGGCCTCATACGGCAAGGCAATTAACCCAATAAACGCTACTGACCAAGACGGCGCTGACCTGCTGGTAAACCTCTCCACCCTAGTCTCATCCACGGTCAATGCGACTGGTTTGCCGCCGACGGTCTCTGAGCTGGCCAAATTGCCGAATGTATCGAGCGAATTCACATGTCGACTGCCCTCTGCAAAGGCCTTTGTGATGCTACGCGATGTCAGCGACTCTGAGATGCCTTGGCTGGGCTTCCTCCTGGGTCAGACTCCCGCCTCCATTTGGTACTGGTGCGCTGATCAGGTGGGCAATTGTTAACCGTTAAATTCTACCCATACAATGCGCTGTGATTTATTTTTTGTTAGCCACAATGCCGAAACCGTACTGATTTGTTATTGCCTTAATCAAAAGAGACGACGGCATTAGTGTTCTTACACGTTGGAGCAAAACATGGGCTGTCAGATCTCACATTCAGCTTATCAAGTAGGCCGAAAAGCTATTCGCCCCAGTTTGAGTCAAGTCGACTTGACATGGGTTTGGACGCATTAGCCGTCGTTATACACGGACAGTAGCACTTACTCAGGTAGTCCGCTACCGCGCAACCGATTTTTAGAACTACAGAAAACCATAATAAAACTGTGAAATTCCGGCCCCATTCATTATTTTTTAACTTCACCCAATGATATATAAATCGTGTTTTTTGATCGGGATTTTTCTGTATAAACCGGCGCTTTTTGAAACATTTATTGATAGAATCCGTTATTGGTAAATTTCGCTAATACGTAAGAAAATAAGCAATAAAAATTAGTACAGTGTAAAATAAAAACTCCTTGTAGATACTCACAAATGAATAATGCTGGTGAAATTGGTAGGAGGAAGCTGTTGGTTCGTTGGTTTTCTTAAGTACTCTTTGTTGCTATATGTTCTTATTTTATGTTTATTATTTTGTTTCGATTTAGTATTTTATTACTATCTTTTAATGAAGGATATACTACTTTACTAAAATGTTAAGAAAATCCCGCGAAATATCGATCATCCCCAGAACGTATACCAGGAAACAAACCGTGGATTATAAAGGCCGCAAAACTGAACCGCACAATGGCGAGGTATTACTGTGTATTTTGACGTACAAATAACTAATGCGTATTCCACAGTTTAAAATATATATATATATACTTTAGTGGAATCCAACTGCCATAGTCAGAAATATAGCGGTTCCCTTTTCAGTCAAGTATATTTCTCGCTGGAACTTTTGCCTACAAACATGGGTGTAGGTTCTGAATCTGAAACGGTACTTGCCAAGTCGTCTTACCTGCCATATAGCCGGTGCAGATATTTGCTGAGTCGCATTGTGGATAACTTGCCGCGGTCCCACCGACGTATCTGTCCCGCTTCTGGACCGTCCTTGCTGCCACTGAGTCATTCACTTTCAGGGCCTGAACAAACGTTCTTCCCACGCTACCACACTTTCAGTGCGCATTTGCTGTGCAGGCCGGCTTACGACATTGGTACGTTGCATTCATCGTTGACGTGTACTTCGCGGGTACTAGGAAGAGCGCGACAGGGCCACGCTTTTGACAACTTAGCCACTTTCCCTATTCTGGTAATTAAGCTCCCGTACTACCCTATCTGTTAACTGAATAAGCCTATTTGACATAGGCATATCCCGTCGGTTTGTGTCTATCACACCACTGACTGCCTGCGGCAGATTAGTTGGAAATTGTTTTTCCAGTCTCTTCTATCCTTTTGGATAATACGCTTACTAGCTACGCTTACCAAGCGATTTTCTTTATGAGACCGTCTGCGAGGCTTCTAGACTTGAATTCTGCTATAAGACAGAGCACCCGCATTTAATCCTACTACAAGGTCCATTCAGTGGACGCCAGTTCCATTTGAAATTAATTCCATGCTCATGGCCTTTGGTGTGCATTTGTAATGTTAGCGCTAGAAGACATTGAAGTTTTCCGATTTTTTTACCTTTGCTAACTGTCCTTGCACCTTTTCGGGTGGCAAACCAGCTGACATGCATTTAGGAAAAATGACGCAATAGAGGGATTCGGAATCGCTTCATGAGTTGGACACCGGGTACTTTGACCGTTTCTAAATACGAATATCAATGTAAAAGCCTTGAAATGCTTTAAAAGGGGGGAAGAAGGCGCTCATTTTCGTCCTTTTGCCTGTTTCTGAACAACTAACTAGTTGTTTCTACACTACTTTTCAGACTTAATCACATCAACTTCGCTAGAGGAATAATAAATGTACTTTGAAAAACCTGAAGTTTTGCCTCGTCAAGGGTTTAACTTTGACATGCTGTACAAAGAATCCGCTGAGCCGCCGTAGTTGTTGTTGGTAGATAATTTACCCTCTCAACCTCATAGTCCCTCGACAGATGCATAGGGAGCAAGGCCGTTCAAAAACCCGGTTCAGCCGCAGTCCGATGGAGTGATTCATCATGTTGACTTGGAGAAAATAGGTTTCCTGTGGTACCTGAATTCAATTATGTCTGCCTTCATCCATCCATCCCTAAGACATAACAGTTTAAAATTCATATTTTATGCCGGATGGCAGTTGAAGCCTTATTTATTACACGCAGTATTCGCCGACTAATACTTGCGTGTCCTGTGGCCTTTTTGCAAGCACCCAACTTGCCTCTTCGAGGCCCATCCACATTTGAAGGCACTATTAATGCACGATCTGTTCTTGCTTCTCTCGACGGTCGAGAGGCTGCCAACTTCCAGAGTAAGCCTTCACTAAGGGCTGTTTCACCGAGCTAACAAGTTAAAGAAGAAAAGGGCCTACGGCGGTCAAATATGATAGGTAAATAAAAACAGGGAATTTCGGCCTGATGTGCGGGTGGGCAGAGTGTGAGGGAGGGCAGAAGTTCTATTTGTGAGCTAGTGTCATGCTGTGAAGTCATAATCACGCTTGTCGAGTTTAAGGTGTTCTCCGAACCCACTCAGTCATGCAAATTCTTTGTGATTCGGGTAGCTGTTAATTTTAGGGTTTGGGTTTAGAGTAGTCTCAGGGTTAATTTTGTGTCTTCTAGTACTAGAATCAGAACGGCGTAATATGTATCCATATAGGAACAGCGCGCAGGTCTACCTTTATTACTTGGACAGGGCGTCGCTGCTCACTTGCCCTGTTTAGAGACAATGAAAGTACTCCTTACCAAGTAATATTTTGTAAAAATGGCTTTCACTACAAAAGCAGACTGCAATATACCAAATTAGCCTGGTGTTGGTTGGAGGACTGTTGCAAGGTGCTGGGCAGTCCATCTGACCATTCATAGTGTTTGCTGATTGTCTAGGGTCGATCACCGTGATGATACCCGCAGATTCCCGTGAAGTTGCGCAGTTTTCTGCATTCATCACTGCGCTCTACTTTCCGAGTCTCCTTTGCCCTATGATTAAGTAGCTCGGACCCAACAGCAACACGTTTCGCTCCCTTTACAGAATTACAAAAATACCGAAACTGGTAGCAGAATCATTGGCTGCGTTTGCTGTTGTCTGCTCGAAGCGATTGTTTTGTTAACAAGGCACACTACAAACATTTTGTGCTTTACGTTCGCCATCCTGCTGGTTAATCTGCGACCACCCATGCCCTTCTGATAGTTAAAAGGTTTCTGCTTAGTGTCACATTTGGGATTTTACGGGATTTTGATTCATCTTACCTCCTGTGGTGCTACCACGCCGTCGGATTAAAACAAGAGTTCAGAGGAAAGTCTTATTTGGAGCGAAATCTGTCCTTTTTATGTATTCGATGCGAGATCGTATGTTAATGCTCAACGGAACGAAAAACCCTGTAGTGGTTTGTTCTTTAGGGGTAGTGTTCAGTGTTTATAAATAATAATTTTGGACTTGCCTTCCACTTCTTTCTGTGGTCGTGTTTATTTTCGGGTTAGATAGCGCGCCCCGAGGCCAACAAGTCACTAATTATATCATTTTGCATGACGTTTAGTGTCACTGAAAGGCTAGTGCATTCTGTGATACAGCTATTCCCATTTCTGATAGAAGCGAACTGGCGAGTTCCAGTGCTGTTCAGAAGGAGGTTTGGTCGGTGGGGCAAACAGTTTATTAACCTGACATTTCGGATTCTCACTCGAGCCCACCATCGTAGACAGTTCCAGATAAGGGTAATATAGGCACGAAGGGCACAGTATTTATAGTACGCAATGGCTACGCGACCACATGCGTACCAGTGGGGGGTTGTGATTGATACGCTGAGGGCTGTCGTTAATCGCCGCGATTTCATCATCCGAGTTGGATTTCGATGTGATAATTACGCGGCAGTTTAACTCGCTGTCATCAAAATTGTCGGTTCCCCTCACCCTCCCCATGTGACTGATTCCCCTGCCAAGGCAAAGTCTTAGCACAGAAGGTGGGAACGGATCTCCCAACAGGGAGTGTGGAGCTGATAAATGTAGTACGCATTTGGTCGCGTGTCCACGATGGACTATAAATACTGCCCACCGTGTGCCTCTATTACCCTTATCGGGGACTGCCTTTGGTGATGGGTTCAACGGTGAATCCGAAACTCCTTGTTCGAGAGCTCGCATATTTACATTTCTGTCTATTAATCTGACCCCTTTTCCGTCCCTTTTAGATGATGGTTCAGCGAGTTTTGTCTGCCAAGAGCCTCTCGCATGCACAGGGCGCTACTCTCATGGCTGGATTGATCAAACTCTTTCCCATTTACATTATGATTATGCCCGGAATGATCAGTCGTGTGCTTTATCCGAGTGAGTTTTCTATTGCATCTGTCGCATCGAATTATTAACTGCGCGTCGGAAGCGGAGTCGAAATCACTTATTTACCGTTAAGGTGTAGGGTTGACCAAGAGGATGTACCATGGGAAACTTTTATATTCAATGTTAACGAACGGCACTCCGATATCATTTCATACAACGCTTATATTTATAGGCAGTCAACCATAAAGTTATGAACGCAGATAACCCATGGGCGGCCTCTAATGAACGCAACTAACTCTCCATTCAGGTTATTTATAATCCGTCCGTAGACTTTCGACGGGATCCTGTTAAGCATTTTACGGCTATGTCGGTCCATGCAGAATGGCCAGTTCCGGGCACTATGTGGGCGAAAGCAGACTTTTACCCTGAGGGGGGGGCGGCGCTGTTAACCTAGGGCAGTCAGGCAATTCACGAGACAGAAAAGGAGGCAACAAAGACGCGGGGGATGTGCAGCCCCTACAGGTTACATCTGTTGCGCAGCCCTAAGTTGTGCTAAAACAACTGATTAACGGTCTATGATGCAAAATCTGAGTTCAAATTCGAAAAATCATATGCTTACGACCCAATAGCTTGATTTACATGTAGACCGAACATGAGTAACGTTCTGGAGTATAGAATTGCCTTCATATTATAGGTTGATGCCCGCAGGTAGATTTTTAATTGCAGAAGTAATTTGAAATGTGAGATTGTTAAGCTGCTCCCTCTTCCTCTAGGTTTAGTTTGGGGAATTTAGACAAAGGTATTACAATCGTGCATTACCACAGTCCTCCCAATTAGTGCCTACCTAGCCGCTCGTTCTCTAATAAACGTACCTTGTTTTAAACGATTTTTAGGTACCGTTGGTTGCGGAACACCTGAAGCTTGTGCTAAAGTCTGCAACAACAGACACGGATGCAGCGACTGGGCTTACCCAAAACTGGTCATGGGTGTACTGCCTCAGGGTAAGGTGTCTCGTTCCTCTTCAGTTTTTAGCCCATTTAAAACGACTTCAGAATTGGTTTTGATTTGGGTCCTGAGAACTTAGGCAATTTCTAATTCCTCTTTACTAACTATGAGTCTGTGTAGTACTATCCATTCGCATGGAGGGAATGCTCTAGCAATTTGCTTGTCCAAGCAAACATACTTAGGGACATCGATACTCGTTATTTTTCGCACGGAAACTATATCGAAGACCCTCTCATGCGGTCGTTTAGCGACACACAACAGAATTATAGAAGGTAGACTGATAGGGCAATTTCTGGAACATGTGTGTCTCCTTCCCCAATGAGACCGGCAGCACAGTGAGCCTATGGTGAAGCATCTCGCTGACTGTTTAGGGACAACCAATTCCGAGTTCCAGCCTGAAATAGGTCTGCAAAGGAGTTGTTACATGACTGGCTGGTGACGGCTAATAAACCAGGACTGTTAACCGACCCTTGATCTACTAGTGCTTCACATTATCCGGTTACGAGGTGATTAACAGGTAGGAACATGGTGGACATCTGTCGCATTTTGAAATTTTATTCGGCAAACATATGTTTTCACCAATTGATTATCAGGCCAGTACAATTGCAAGAATATTGAAAATAGTATAGTTGGACAGGGTTAATAAGGTTCCTTTGATTACAACTCGTTGATTTCGCGCCACCCGCACGGTGAGATCGGCGTGTATAGGTCATTGTGCTGAAGGGGGGGAGGTGGGCAGGGCAGGGCAATAAATTAAGATAGATTGTGAGCGTTGGTCATGGGTCAGATACGCGGAGTGATAATTACTGTTACCTGCACGGAGTGAACGACTGTCTCTAGGGTGTGGGGGCGATATGCGATCGCCACCCGACGTTGGCGTCAGCCACGGAAGTGAAAGGACTTGTGTTAGTGTCTTCTGACAGCACTGGATTCGCTAGCCATATAGCCACTGCCTCGGCTGTTGCTAGCACCCGTTGGCGTAGGCCCTTGGAGAAGTTGGCTGGTGTCCGATAGACAACCTGAAAGGCTTCATTAGTATCGACGATTGGAATCGAAAGACCTCTATTAACCCTGTCCAACTATTTTCATTATCTTTGCAATTGTACTGGCCTGATGATGAATTGCTGAAAACATATATTTGTCGAATAAACCTTCCAAATTAAACATGGGAATATTTGCAGAATTTATGGCATTATTTCTGTTGCGTGTTTAAGAGAATTTTCGGATGATTTTTGAGCAAATTTATTTTTTTGCCTCTTTCTTATTTACATTGCTTTTCTCAGCCGCTTCGAATATTTAAGATAGGCAGATGGTTTCCCCCGCCGTCGAAATGCATTACTAACTCGAATTACATTACGTTGATATCAAAACTTCTTGTTGCATGCCATCCTCGTCTAAATGGCAAACAGTCCTTTAATGTGCTCTAGCACACGATTTCATTTCGTTTCAGTTTTGTAGACAGGCGTCTAGCAAAGTGAATATTCGACACATGATCTGATTTTAGCGGTTTCTTTTTCCAGGTCTTCGCGGATTGATGCTTGCGGTGATGCTGGCAGCCCTTATGTCCGATTTAACATCCATCTTCAATTCTGCTAGCACCTTATTCACCTGCGACATATACTCTCACATTCGCAAATCCGCGGGCAATCGTGAACTTATGATTGTCGGACGGTACGTCAGTTCATGCCTATTTAGTACTTGTGACTGTTTGTGTCCAGGATGGACGATGAACCAGTTTAATGGAAAACCAGCCATTGTCACAGTTTTGACCGAAGAAATTCGACTTAGCTTCTAGTCTAAATAAACTGTCCCCAACTGAAATGTGGCTGCGGTTGATAGCGTTTTCCTGGCCGTTTCCTTTTTCCTTTTATCTGCTATTTATGCCATAATTTTCCCCAAGTTTATGTAAATTTAACCTCACAGAGGTTTGCTTTAGAGTATAAGTCTCATGTGGGCTTAATTCAATATAAAACGGAGGGGTAAAACAAATTTACCTAAACGTTGGGTAACTTGGTAGTTTGCGGCTTACAGCACTAAAAACACTTCCGGAAAGTTGCAATCAGACACGGATCCCTGCAGTCTCTGGAAGCGAACCCTAGACATCAGGCAACTACCTCAAAACTGAGCATGCCGTTTGATGTAACATGTAAAGTATCGGGTTTCACCACCCGGTTTTCGGGTCAATTTACTCTTGATTGGCACTCATCCAGGTAGCCCTTAGAACGCTGAATAAACTACAACCACCCGACACAGGAAGCTCAAACTTGGTACATAAC